CGCGTCCCCGCCCGCACCCCCGCGCCCCCGCCCGCGCGGCCGGGACGAGCGCCGCCGAGCGCATGCTGATCCCTGTCCTCCTCCTCCTCAGGCGGCGCTGGCGGCGGCCCCGGGACCTGCGGAAGCCGGCATGCTGGAGAAATTCGAGTTGGAAGAAGAAGGTGAGTGCCCCCCCCCCGCCCCCGCCGGAACGCGCTCCGTTTCGACGCCGAGGGGCCGGGGCGCGGGGACCGCCGGGGTTCACGCCCCGGAGGCCGTGCGGCCCCGGCTGCCGAGCGCGGCCGGGGATGCAGACGCCGAGCCGGCCGAGGACGGCTGCAGTGGCCCGCGGGTGCCGATCGGGGGTGGGGGTGGGGGGGTGGTTGGAATCCGGGCTGGGTCCGGGAGGGGAGCCCCGAACCCCGGCCATCGGCTCCGAGGGGCGGCCCTTTTGTCCTAACCAGCCCAACTCGAGGGAGAGCCAGGTGTCATGCAGCAGAAATTGTTTGTGGTGCCGCCGTACACGTAGAGGTAACCCCCAAATTGCGTTGATGGCCCATACCTTAAAATAACACCAACCGGTTCCCTGCTCTGTATTTCCGAAAATACCACCGGCAGGGTGTGTCTTCTGGTTAATAGGGAAAGTTAAATAGGAAAACCAGAAGCGGCTTCGTGAATTGGGTTTGAGTTCAGGTGACCCTGTCACTCCATCATTTCTGTCGCCTCTGCGCTCGCTCGGGTTTTCTCTCTCCTGCCCTGTTTGCTTCTTACTTACCTGGATCTTGTGAGGAAGCTGTTGAAACGTGAAGGGGGTGAGTTCGTTCTTTGGCAAAATTGATATTTGAAACGGAATGCGATGAGCTTTCACCTGGATTTTATTTTGAAACTGTTAAAATGCAAAGGGCGCAAAGCTTGTTCTTTGCCAGAATTGGTATTTGAGATGGAATATGGCGAGCTCAGAGTCGGAAAAGAACTTTGTACGAGATGCTTGACAGTTTGAGGAATTTAATTTGAAAGAACTCCACGCTATCTCGTGTGCTTGCTTTATTTATTTAGTGACTTCTCTTTGCCCCAGGAGTATTCATGGAATAAAGCTCCTGGAACAAAGAATGTGCCATGTGGATGCTGTGCCGTGTGCCAACTTTACTTTAATACTTTTGTTCATTTACAGCCAGGCAATGACTTAAATAAGCATGCACGGCCAACATGAGAATGTCAGCCAGATAGTATTAGGCCTGTACCTGCATTCATTTTATGTTTTAGCTTCCCTGCAGCATTTCACAAGCACGTTGCTAGAAGATAATGCACGCGTAGTAATTATCATTAGAAGTCTGCATCCATATTTATTATTCACGAGCAGTTACGTGATACATTTCATAATCTTACTGGGACTTAATTTGCATTTTCTCCTACTGAAAAATAATCCAGTATCTTAAATCGAATCCTCCTCATTACTCATCAGTTGCCTATCGCGGGTCAAATTTTGGCCACTGTCCACAGAACAATACGGTGCGCCTCCCTTTCCGTTAAGATGTCGAGTGTCTGTATCGTAGGGGTTTTCTTTGTCCCTGATATCAGTAATAAGAGTCTATTGCGTTTAAACTTTTTGCAGATTCACTTGTGGGCCAGAGGAAAGTGGAGACCACATGCGTTAGAAGGACAGCACAGTTATGGTTAAGGACATAGACCCAGCTTCACATCTCAGCTCCATTTCTCGTGTAGCCATGTGACTTGGGACAAATCACTGAGGTCCTCCGTCTGCCTTACTTTCCCCGTTTGTAAGATGAAGCTAATACCAGGGTGTTTTGAGGATTAGATGAGATAATTTGTGTAATGGTATTTAGGACGGTGTAAACCCATAGTAAGCACTGTGGACGTGTTAGTTACTATTTTTTTTTAATGCCATTAACCATTATACCGAATTCATGGACTTTGTAGGCTTTTATTAACAAACCTTAACATGGAGAGTCTTCTCGACATGGATTTCACGTTTTGTTTTTTTTTTTTCTTACTTGAGATTTATTGATTTAATTATGTTGCGTTTCTCAAAGCAGATCTACGGGCCTGGTTTCTTTTGCATTGTTTCTGCCGACATAATGAATATGAAGTATGAAACCTAAGCATCTAAGGAAAGGGATTTCCTGTTTTCGCCCATCTATTTTTATCTATATCGCTGTCATTACTTTAAAGCAGGCTGAATCCCACAAATAACCCTGTCAAACTTTTCTAGATTTTTTTAAGAAGGCAGAACGTTAAGCACTTGCTCAGAAGCCGTTAGCAGAGCTAGAAAAAGAAATAGTGTCGGCATGCTTGTCTAAAATGCTGCTTTGTTTCTTTTGAACTTTATATTGCTTATTCATCCATAGGATGGAAAAACTGAATATCCAGCAGAATCTTACGTTTATTTGCGGGGGTGGGGAAGGTCCTCACAGCTTAAGCCTTTACACCCTTCAATATCCTGTGAACTACGTGTTAGCAGCCGTCATCACAGGTGGCTGTTGAATGGATCCTCATTTGATCTGTAAACTTCTTTCTTGGGGCCCGCGGGTGGCTCCGTCGGTGAAGCGTCCACCCAGCTCTCGATTTCAGCTCGGGTCGTGATCTCACGGTTCTTGAGTTTGAGCCTCGCGTTGGGCTCTGCACTGTCCGTGCTTGGGATTCTCTCTCTGTCTGTCTGTCTGTCTCTCTCTCTCTCTCTCTCTCTCTCTCTCTCTCTCTGCCCCTCCCCCACTCGCACACGCGTGCTTGCACGCACACAGGCGCACACGGTTCTCACGCGCTCTCTGTCTCTCAAATAAAGTGAAAAAAAATTCAAACTCCTTAACCATGACTGTCGTCGTTTCTGCCTTGCTCTCGGGATGCGTTGCTTAGACGGAGATACTCAGTCTGGCAGGCACAGAACACGTGATGCCGAATGTTTTCGTTACCGAGTGTTTTTCTGTTTCCTGATAAGTTACAACCAATACTGTATTTGTCAGAAGTAATTTGGGGGCGCTGGCGAAGTCGGAGTAGTCTCTTCAAATGTCGTTTGCTTCTGGGAAGGAAGGAGAAGCCGTACCGCGACCTGGTCAGGGGGTCCGGGTCATCTTTTGCCTGGATTCTGACGCCAGCGGCCTTGCCCCCGTTCTGCCGCCAGCGCTCCTTACCATCAGATTCCTCCTTTGCGGGAAGCTCTTTACCTCTGTCTGCCGTCTGTATATAGGATAAGTGGGTGCTTCTCTTCATTTGCAACCTCGCTGCCACCTCCCAGCCGTACACGCCAGTGATCGGAGGGCTGTCTGTGCCAGAGATCGCCAGACATCTTTTTAAGGGGCAGGTTCTGATTCTGGGGCTCTGGGCTGGGACCTGGGGGTCTGCGTTTCTGCCAGGCCCGCAGGGGCGGCGGCGGCTGCTTCCTAGACCCCTCTGTGAGTAGCAAGGCTCCAGAACAGACATCAGCACACTTCTGCAAAGGGCCAGATGGTCTGTGGCTCGGGCTCGGTCACGACTCCTCTGCCCGCCCGTGCGGCAGCGAGGCGGAAGGCAGCCGAAGCCCAAACTCAGCCCAACAGGCCGTGCTCTGGTAAGCCTTCATTTGTAAACACGGGCCGGATTTGGCTCCCAGGTGTAGTTGGCCAGACCCTGCGCTGCGCGCGCGTCTTGATTTCTGCATACCTCTCACGGTCTCTGTGCCTTAGAGTGTTCCGTTACCTTGACCGCAAGACCTTCTCTTCCTCCCTGTCTCCGCCCTGTCCGTGTTACTCATGCCTCGAGGCTCTACCCAGATCTTGCCCCCTCTTCGAGGCCGTCCCCCAGATCCCTTCTGCGCCTCTTTTCACAGTTCGTCTTGCTGTTCCCCGTGCCTGATGTGGCCGGCACACAGTAGGGGTTCAGCAGTGTCCGGAATCTTCGTGCGGCGCCTCCGTGAGTGTTACTCCGCGGGAGCGTTGAGGGGACCCGGTGGTTCTGTGTATGCAGAGGGGGGAGAACACTGCCTCACCCATAGCAGTCGCTTTATGCGTCTGCTTTTCAATTTTTTTATTCAGAGGTCAGTCACGTTAATGTTTTTCTTTTATCCGGATGAACTGTCTGGAACGTATTTTATGGCAGGACCAAGCACAAGTACTGAGTAGGGACGTAAACACAGCGCAGGGATGCTGTAGATAAGTACCAGCAGCTCAGTCACGATCGCTCAGTCTGTACTTTGGGCATGCTTCGAGAATTGGACAGCCCCTTGGAAGTATCCGTGTTCTCTCCCGGCTTCCCTCTTGTCCCTTCAGCTGTCACAGACTCTTCAGTTATTTCAGGGTCTTGGTAACTCGCCGTGGCGCTCTCCTCTCACTTAGCTGGCTCTCCAGCCTGCCTCTTCCCTCGCCTTCTGCCTCCTCCCTGATCCCAGACCACCTCTGGGGTCCTCCCTGGCCTTCTTCACCCTCACGGCCTCCTCCAAACTATTAGCTTTCTAGAACTCACCTCCAGCTCACTTTGCCGGCGAGACTGGTCAACCTTGTCTACGCTGATCAAAAATAGGGAAGAAACAGGGGCCACTTTTTTTTTTTTTTTTTAAGGAGGCAAAGCATAACTTGTCAGGTCAGAATGTTAGGCCTCGTTTGGTAGTAAAGTAGCCGTATCCTCATAATCCACAGTCGCTTGGGGCCCTGCCGCTTGTTTTGCTGTTGTTGTCACCGGGAGTTTTCTGCGTAAAACAGGGCCTGCACCTGGTGAACTTGAGCTTTTCCTTCTGATTCAAAAATACGGCCTAAAGCAAGCAGCAACCACTCTATAAACAGAACCAAAAATTGGTGCTCGCTCAAACGCGTTCCTTTTCAACTGGGGAAGCAAAGCGAGCAAAGATTGGTTGTTGTCAGGACACAAAAAATCTTAGCTATTACAGTGGCTTGTGGCTCTCCAAAGGGCCGTGTTACGTGAACGGATATCCAGGATTTCTGCCAGATCATAGTTTCACAGGCGTAGGACAGTTGGGGGGTGGGGGGGGGAATATATAAAAAGTTTCAGAGGGGGGATTGGACAGTGAAAAGTTTGAGAAACACTGCTCTGACTTCAGGGAGAATTGTCTCTCTATGTTTTTGCCGGGACCCGTCAGAGCACCCCCTTATCACTGGCCTCAGAGCCGCTGCCCAGTGAGGCTCAGCCCAGTCCACTTGGTGGGACATTGGCTTTCATGTGAACAGTGCTGCCCTCTAGTGGTAGAGACGCTACAGTGATAGGTTTGTAGTCTGCCCACCCCACCCCCCACCTTTGGGTACCTCTCCAGGATGATTAGATTGTTCTAGATTATTGGAAGGCTCCGATCATCTATCATCCAAACTCTGGCCTTCCCTACCGTTTGCATACTCATCTCAGACAACAGATTCTCTCTTAATTATAAAAGTAGTTACAATTTTATGAAATATTTACAATTAATTTTTTTTTTCCTTGGGGCGCCTGGCTGGCTCAGTCGGTTGAGCGTCCAACTCTTCATCTCGGCCCAGGTCATGATCTCACAGCTGGTTGAGTTTGAGCCCTGAGTCGGGCTCTGTGCTGACAGTGTGGAGCCTGCTTGGGATTCTCTCTCTCCCTTTCTCTCTGCCCACCCCCCCCCCCCCCCCACATGGGCTCACACAAATGCCCGCTTGCTCTCAAAATAAACTTAAAAAAATTTGTTTTCATCTCTAGCTGACCCGTATTTAAAAGCTTGCCATATTTAATAGGTTTTAGGTATACATTTTAATGTCTGTAAAGTTAGGCTATAGCTTCACATTTGATGGTATCTTAGATTTGATGAGATAGAACGGTTGTCTTGTGGCCTGGGGAGGTGTCATTACCTGAAATGGAAAGATCCTGACTACCTGAGATAAAGAGGGGAGACTCGAGGTATTTGAAACCGGGATCTCTTGGCTAGGCCTCACGAGCAACTTCCAGAAAGTCCTCGGGAGCTGAGACAGCAGTCCGGTCCTCTCTATGAAGGATTGGTCTCCATGACCTTCCCTCTCAAGACCGACTTTGCTCCGTGAAGGCCCTCAGCTGCGACCCCACCAGTCAGGGGCCACGGTCCAGACCCGTGATTCGGATGGTGGCACAGTGCCCAGGATGGTCCCATCCTGCAGCTCTGCGTGGGCTGCAAAGTCCCTGAAAGATGTTATACTGGGATCCCTGAGGCTTTTTAAGTCTACTTATTTATTTTGAGAGACAGAGAGAGAGAGTGCTGCGTGGGGCTCGAACTCACAGACTGTGAGCTGAACTCATGACCTGAGCTGAAATCAAGAGTCAGACGTTTATTTGACCAACTGAGCCACCCAGGCGCCCCTCTGCGGATTTTAAAGTGGGAAGCCTGACAGAGCATTTGGAGTTGACTCGAAAGAAATGGGAAGATTGTTTATATCCGGTATTGGAGGTTCTCCTAACCAGCGTGCATGAAGTGCACTGAGCACTGTTGTAAGTGTTCACGTTTATCTAATCCTCACAATAGCCTCGAGACGTAAATATTTTTGTCATCCCTATTTTATAGAGGAAGAAATCAAGAAAGAGGTTAAGTCACCGTCTCCGGGACGTATGTGGGAAGGTGGAGAACCAGGTTTCAAATACGGTCCTGTGGTCTGAGCCAGGGTGCGTAACCAACCCGGAATCCTCTTTTACTCGGAAACCCTCTACGTGTTCCCACCTCCGGCACGTTCCGCCTGAGCCACTGAGGCCATTTCCAGGGGCTGCCTGGTGCAGACTCCGGGGGACACCTGTCAGGCCCCTTCTTCCCTTCAACTCTTAGTAACAGTCCACAAAGATGGTCTCTGCTCCCGTGTACTGCACAGCCCCCTCGTGGCCACCTCACGCACGTCTGGCCGTTGCTTTTCTCTCCTTGATGGTCCCGACTCTTGTTTCCAGAGTGTGGGATGTCGAACTTGCTCCCGGCCACCCTGCCCTGTGCCTACCCGCCTTCTTGTCCGCCGCCTTGCTCTCTGCCATCACTTTATTTACCCCGGGGCCTGTTGCCCCATGTTTTAATGCCATGTATTTAGGGGCGCCTGGTGACTCAGTTGGTTAAGTGTCCACCTCTTGATTGCGGCTCAGGTCACGATCTCAGGGTTGTGAGATTGAGCCCCGCGTCGGGCTCAATGCTCCGCTCTGAGCGTGAAGCCTACTTGAGAGTCTCTGTCTCTCTCAAAATAAAATCTTTTTTAAAAATTAAAAAATAAAAATTTAATCCCACGTGTTTCGTGACCACAGTGCTTCATAACTGATGATGCCCAAACAGACACCTCACCCACATCTCTCCTGAGTACGCAGCTGCCGCTGGCCATCTCTGCCGACCACTTCGCCCGCGGCCTCCGTTCTAGCCTCCTGCACCCCCTCCCCCTGGTTTCGGCCGGCCGAATTCATTAAGTGGCATCACGTCCGCCTCGCTGTCGTTGTAACAGGAGTGATGCTGGAGCTTGTGTGCCCGCGTCCGGGTGATGGAGCCCTCAGACCGTTGCCAGTGCCCGTCACTCCTGCCGTCACTCGGGGCCAGCCCGTCCGTGTTGCTGCTGACCTGTTAAGCAGCCCGCTGTCTCCCAGCACCTGCTCCACCCCCCAGTCAAGTTCAGCTGCTGCCCCCGGAGGTGTTTTATAAAAGCACATACGTGGGACACCTGGGTGGCACAGCTGGTTAAGCATCCGATTTCCGCAGCTCCGGTCACGATCTCGCGGTTTGTGAGTTCAAGCCCCGCGTCGGGCTCTGTGCTGACAGCTGGGAGCCTGGAGCCTGCTTCGGATTCTGTGTCTCCCTCTCTTTCTGCCCCTCCCCTGCTCGTGCTGTCTCTCAATAATAAATAAACATTAAAAAATTTTTTAATAAACACACACACACACAAGTCACGTCACTGCCGTGCTCAGGTTTCCTGCCCTGCGCTCCGCCGTCCCTGGTGCCTGCCCCTGCCTCCCCTTCTTGCGTGTCTGTGTTCGCGGCTCCCTGCACCTGTCCCGGCCGCCCTGCTTGGTGCCTCGGCTGCCGGACATTCGCAGGCCGCGCCCCCCTCCCCGGGCTGCGCTTCCTCTCCTCCCGGCCACCTGCTACTTCTCGTCAGCTCTCAGCCCCGATGTCACTTCCCTGGGGGAGCCTTTCCGACAGCCCCAGAGAGGACTTCGCATGTCCTCCCTGGATATCTATACGGGCTGTTAAGGAGAAACGCGTTTCCTTGTGTTTCTTTGTCACTGGCTTGTGAGCTCCGTGAGGGTGGGGACAGAAAACTTAACAGTTGCCGTGTTTCAAAGATGCCGTGGTGAAGACGACTTCCGTTTCCAGTACATGTTTGTTCCCCGTGTGAGGAGCTTTCGACTTGATTCGGGCACATAAGCTTCGCGTTTTAGAAAGTGTTCTTTCTTGTAAAGAGATAAGGTGTTTCTGTGAAAGGCAGTCAGTGGAAATCCATTTGCCAAGTTACTGCCTCCTGATCGCAGAGTGGTGACAGGTGGGGGCGTGCGGGGTGACAGCAGAGGACCTACTTACGTAATCCGGCAACCGAGGAAAACGTCTCTTAGATCTTTCTTCTGTGGCTGGGATTACAGCGGCACTGACGTCAGGGGGAAAGAAGCCTCGCTTATCTCCGATGAGAAACGGGGCGGCAGTTCGGAGGAGGAAACCAATTTGGGGACCTCTGAGTTAAATTGTTGTCACTTTTTAATCTGCTTGATTTGCTGCTGCTTTCCCGCTCTGAGCTGTTTCCTGTGAATCTGAATTTACGGAACCCCCGTGATTCACCGTTATACATTGGTCACCTGTCACTCGCAGCAAGCTGCTGCCACTTGTTTTATAGATCACCTGTTCCGTGAGGACCTCCTCGGGAACACACACGTCCGCGTTCTCATGTGCGGATTTATACCCTGTGTTTGGCTCTCACCTGCCACACGGACTTCTCGAGCTTTGGAGCGTATTTGTGCCCCGCCCCCCTTGAGTTGCACATGTCCTTCGTGTCGTAGCCCCTGAGAGCACAGGGGCAGAGCCGGCTTGGAGTCCCATTCCTTCCACGTAGTCGCCGCGAGACCTCAGGCCAGTTATTTCGAGCGTCAGTTTCATCCGTAACTGGGACAGACTAGCAGCCTCCAGCTAATAGGATTATATGTGGATTAAGTGACAGGAGTATAGCATTTGCTGCCTCCCCTGCTGGGCAGGACAGTGCCCGCAGGTACAGCTGAGGTGACGGCCCGAGGAGGGCCCACGAGGCAGGTGAGCGCTGCCCGCGCTGGCCGGTCGGCAGCATTGGGGACCGGGGGTCGGACTGTCCCCATTCCCTCCGAGCCACCCTGCAAGGAGATAGCGTTATCCCCGCGTGACAAGTGGAGAAATGCGGGCGCCTAGCCCGAGGTCACACCCAAGGTGGTGACAGTTCTAACCTGGGTTTGGTCTAGCTCTGTCCCGTTCTGGCTTCCACACCCCATCCCGCTGGGACCTGCAGTCCCTGGGGGAGGAGCCCGGGGGCCCCGTAAAGGGGTCTCCTGTTCACGCCCCACTCTGCAGACGATGCGCCACGGTGGGGGGGCCAGAGGGCCCGCTGCAGGAGGACCCGCCGTACTGCCGGACCCAGGGGCGTGCACGCACCGTGGACAAGCGCCTAAGCCGTGGCCGAGGGGGACGGGTCAGCGCAAGCAGCGTCCTGCCTGAATCGCCCACTGCGGGGGGACTCCCGGTCTCTGCCCACCCGACTGGGCTGGCCGCCATGCTGTGACTCCACATGACTTGCTGAACACGTTCATTTGTCTCCTTCCCCTCATAAAGTCCTACTAAAATGACAGCAGTCAGTGAAAACGAACACAAAAGGTAGTCTTGCTCAAGAAAACCAAAAACTGAGTTCTGGGAAAAGACCAAAAAAGTGGGTAAACCTTTGTCAGATGTGTTCAAGAATGTCATGAGTGACAATGCAAAGCTTTAGAAATGGGGGGGGGGGAAATCTCTAATTGTGAATGCAAAGATTTAGGAAATAGCATTTAAAAGAAACCTGAGTAGACCAAATTATATCAATAAATTTTAAAAAACTCGTTTCAGTCATCATAAAAGAAATTTAAAAGTAGTCTTAGTTGAATCGTACACTTTAAATAGGTGAACTCTATCTATGGATGTGAATTATAGCTCAATAAAGCTGTTTCTTAAAAAAAGGAATTAAAAGTGCTCAGCCTTGGGGTACCTGGATGGCTGTCCATTAAGCATCTGACTCTTGATCACGGCTCAGGTCGTAATCTCATGGTTTGTGAGCCCACGTGGGCTCCGTGCTGACAGCATCGAGCCTGCTTCGTATTCTCTCCCTCCCTCTCTGCGTCTCCCCCGCTCGTGTGTGCCCTCTCTCTTTCTCAAAATAAATAAAGTCGAGGCACCTGGGTGGCTCAGTCACTTAAGCATCTGACTCTCGGTTTCAGCTCAGGTCATGATCTCACAGTTAGTGTGTTTGAGCCCTGCTTCAGGCTGTGTGCTGACAGTGTAGAGCCTGCTTGGGATTCTCTCTCCTCTTTCTCCCTCCCTACCTCCCTCCCTCTCCCTCTCTCTCTCTCTACCCCTCCCCCACTCACGGTGTCTCTCTCTCTCTCTCAAAATAAATAAGCTTAAAAAAGTCCTAAGCCTTCCTTCCCCTGCCCCTGCAAAAGAGGGCCAGTGCTCAGCCTGTCAGTGGGTGCACTCTGTAAAACCTTCAAGGAACAAGTACTGTGTAAGTTACTTACGTGATTTTAGGGCACAGGAAAAGGTGGCAGCTTCCACGCTCATTCCGTGAAGCTAGCTTCATCCTGACACCCAGACCAACTGATGGCACGGAAGAAACCCGATGGTTAGCCTGGCCTTGAAAATACAGGCAGAACCCCTGCGTAAGCATCAGCAAAAGGAGCCACTCGCTGCACGGTGACCACGCTGGGTGTTGTCCTGGAAATGCAAGAAAACCGCAGCTTCTTAAGAAATCGCTAAGGAATTAATGTCAGCAGGTTAAAGGAGAAAACCCTCTAGTCATCTCAGTAGACACTGAAATAGCAATTGATAAATATGTGCCTTTAACAAAATCCTTAGTAAGCTAGAGAGAGAGAAGGAAACGCCTTTAAATTGCTGGGAACATACTTGACAGAAGCCGCCGGGCAGCAGTGAAGTGCTTCCTGGCGTTCGCCGTCAGGGCGGTCTCCACCCTGCCGACCCGTCGGTGCTTGGGACTTGACCTCTGTGAACTAACCTCGGTCCTCCCCGTTGCTTCAGCTTAATAATCTGTGTCCTAAGAACGAGGGAACGTAGGGGAGGGTGGATGCTTCAGTCGTGTGGTTCCCAAGATTAAACATGAAGCCATTTTGAAATGGGGGGGAAATCCCATACAATTTCAAGGTCATGGCGTTGTTTGTGACATCTCTTGGGCATTTATTGCAGCCCGTTTTGCACTCGCTGGGGAGCCGGCGTGCCTTTAACCTACCCACACTTCTTTCTACCAAGTCTTTGACCGCCCTTGCCTAGCAGAGCTGATGCAGTTCTCTCCGCAGAGGTACTCACCCTGGCTCGCTCGATCCCAAATGCAGAAAGCATGGAGAGAACAAACCGAAGGCACTTCATTTATTTTACCGCCTCGTAACAAAAACAGGATCCTACTTCTTGGAAAAGAACTTTACCGATAGAGTGGGTAAACCTCATACCTGTAAAATTATATTTAAGCTTTGGCTTTGTTAATATTTGCGTTTCTAAGCACTTTAGGGAAACTTACATGAGTGTGGTCTTTCCCGTATACTTCAACTTCCTCGTTCCCATTTCTTGCCCAACTATTTTCAGTGGTCTTCTAAAAAAATAAAAGATACCGTATGTATTAGGTAAACTTGTGTTTCAAAATGTAGAATAAAGGATAAAAAAAATTTTTTTTAAACTAACATATTGGGGCACCTGGGTGGCTGTGGGTTAAGCATCAGACTTCAGCACAGGCCACGATCTCACGGTTTATGAGTTTGAGCCCCACATCGGGCTTTGGGCTGAGAGCTCAGAGCCTGGAACCTGTTTTGGATTCTGTGTCTCTCCCTCTCTGCTCTCCTCCCCCACTCACAATCCTTCTCTCTCTCAAAAATAAATAAACATTAAAAAAAATTTTTTTAGGGGCATCTGGGTGGCTCAGTCAGTTTTGTGTCCAACTTGGGCTCAGGTCATGCTCTCAACAGCTTGTGAGTTTGAGCCCCGCATCGTGCTCTGTGCTGACACCTCAGAGTCTGGAGGCCTGCTTTGGATTCTCTGTCTCCCTCTCTCTCTGCCCCCCCCCCTTCTCTCTCTCTCTCTGTCTCAAAAATAAACATTAAATTTTTTTTAAATTTTTTACATTACAAAGATGAAAAATACAAAAAAAACCCTCTAACATTGGGGCACCTAGGTGGCTCAGTTGGTTGAGCATCTGACTTCGGCTCAGGTCTTGATCTCATGGTTCGTGAGTTCGAGTCCCACATCAGACTTTGTGCTGACAGCGCAGAGCTTGATTCAGATTCTCTGTCTCCCTCTCTCTCTGTCTCTCCCTCCCTCTATCTCTCTCTCTCTCTCTCTTTCAAAAATATTTAACAAATTAAAAGAAAAACTAACATTGATCTTTAGTGGAATGAGAATGCAAGGTCTGTATATTAAGTTAAAATCGTGGGGATTGGAGGGGCACCTGGGTGGCTCAGTGGGTTGGGCATCTGACTTCGGCTCAGGTCATGATCTCACGGTTCATGAGTTCGAGTCCCGTGTTGGGCTCTGTGCTGACAGCTCAGAGCCTGGAACCTGCTTCGGGTTCCGTGTCTCCCTCTCTTTCTGTCTCTCCCCTGCCTATGCTCTGTCTCTCTATATATATCTCTTAAAATTCAATGAACATTAAAAAAAAATGAAAAATATATTAAAAAAAATTCGTGGGGATTGGAGATAAGGAGTCGGGCTTTTTGTTTAGAGGGTTTTTCAGTGAAGTCCGGGGTGACACGTGATGTTTGTTTCAAAATGCCTTCATCTGTGCACACTTAGCTCTTTGAGATGTGGTTTGGATCTATGACCGTGACCCGTGATGTCACCCAAGGTGCAGTGTTCAGTCGTGGCGAATGAAGGAGGCGGGATGTGGCCTGGAGTCAGGTGTGCATGTTGCCGGCTGTGGCCTAGCAGAGCCTCTTCCCCGCGGTTGCCCGACGGCAGCTTGAAAAGCCTGCCCCCAAGGACAGGCCACCATCCCTGTGAGGGCCCCCCCCCCCTTCCATCGGTCCTGTAGGCCCCCAGCCCCTACGGCTCTGTTAAGTCAACCCTGGGACTGGCTCGCGGTTTTCGTCTGCCGGGGAGGACGCCAGGGGCTGATTTAGTTAGGACAGCACACAGAAGGGAGCAGTCGCCCTCCGTACAGGCTTTAATTGTGTCCCCTGACCTGCTGTCTGCAGAGTCCGAATGGTCTCCCGACACGTCTGGCCCCGAGTGGGCAGAAGGCGTCCTGCCTCAACACGGTTAGGGAGTCACTGCATCGCCGAAGCCGGCCGCTGCTCCCTTCTCTCCCATCCCCACCACTGAGCCATCTGCGAGCCACTCCCAGCCAGACTTCCAGCACCTTCCACCTGCCCCTTCGTCTCGCTCTCCTTCTGTGGGAATCTCGCCTTTCTTAGACTAATCATCAGTGACAGTCTGTCCTTTTCGTCTTTGTACCATTAAGGCTAGAAATGCCAGAGCATCACAGCATCTTAGAATTCAGTTTTTACAGAGTCTTTCTAAATTAAAATTCCATGTAAATCGGTTATAAAAAGTAATTTATGACTCTAGAGGTTATCTCTGAAATGTGAATTTGTCAAGTTGTTTTGCTGTATTTTCAGGGTTTTAAAATCCGTGTATAATAATGTGGACATTTTAACATCTTCTGCAGTTTTGCTCAATTCAGTTACTTTTTGTTTTGTCCAGTGGAATTAGAAAATAGTTTCAATATAAAATATGCCTGCAACCACTTTTCAAGCTTTAGATTAATGCTGTTACACTTTTTAAAAAATTACATGGGGCACTTCCACAAATGCATCATTTCATGACAAAAACATCCCTTTTCAAGCCTTCAGTCTTACAAAGGTGTATAAGTAAAGTTTCTTTACTGATCATTAAATCTAGATTCACCAGCATTCTTTTAAACTGGAGTGCTTTGGGGGGCGCCTGGATGGCTCAGTCAGTTAAGCGTCCGACTTTAGCTCAGGTCATGATCTCATGGTTCATGGGGTCCAGTTCCGGATCCGGCCCTGTGCTGACAGCTCAGAGCCTGGAGCCTGCTTCGGATTCTGCGTCTCACTCTCTCTCTGACCCTCCCCTGCTCTGTCTCTCTGTGTCTGTCTCTGTCTCCGAGGATAGATAGGCAATACAGTAATCCTGGACTCATACTTTGTCCTCCGCATTTTACTCATGAGTCTTTCTGCCATTCAGCAGGTGCGAGCCTGTCCTGACACCTCCTGGGAACTTGCTGGAGGCCTGTCCGGTGTCTCACAAAGCTACCATCTAAAAGGAAAGCAGACCTGTAACTTTAGTACAAGGCGTACCACGACTCCAGAAGCTAATTGCTCACAGAGCACTAATGGGAATGTTAAAAGGAGCAATTACTTCCGACTTGAAGGCTTCACGGAAGGTGTTCCGGGTCCTTGAACTGAACTTTGAAGCTACGTTAGTTTTCTGAGGCCCCCGTCACAAACATAGCAGCTTAGAACGATAGAACTTCATTCAAGGTGATTGTCCTCGACTCTCCTAGCTTCTAGGGGTCGCCCCCAGTCCTTGGCGGCCCTTGGCCCGTGGCTGCATGACTCAGCCCCTGCCTCGTCCTCCCGTGGCCGCCTCCATCTGTGTCTCGTCTTCTGTGGTTTATAGGTCATTGGTCTCTGGATTTAGGGCCCAACCTAATCTAGGCCGGTCTCATCTCCCGTTCCTTGCTGTAATTTCACTCGCAGAGACCCTGACTCCAAATACAAAGTCTCGTTCTGATGTTCCAGCTGGGCACAGATTTTGGGGAGCCACTATTCAGCCGCCAGAAGGCAGGTGGGATTTCAGTGGGCCAAAAACAGGATGGCAGAGCGCGCTTCCAGAATACAGGACAGCGTGCGCAGAGCAGAGGCGGGAGCCCGAGGAGCGCGTTCCCCGGGCTGAACTTCCCACACTTCACAGAATCCTTTGGAAGGGAAGTGTCAGTCCGGCCTGAGAGTGGACGATTCCCAGAGGGTGTGGTCGGAGAGGAGGCCGGGAGGGGGGGAATGGGGTCAGGTGGTGGAGACCCTGTGCTGTGCGACGACGTGTAGCGTGTCGTGAGGTAGCGAGGGCTTGTCGGCGCCCCCCCCCACGGAGTCGGACCTGCCCTAGGAAATGCTGGCTTTCACACTTTCCCACCCCGCGTGTGTGCGGTCGCGTTTACACTTAGTTGCTGCGTTCTTCGAATTCTTTCCTTAACCTTCAGAAATCGAACCCCTCACCCCAGTTTCTGCTTCCCAGTAGTCCCCTTCAGCAGCCGCTCGGCCAGCGGTAGGTCAGCGCGTCCTCGGAGGAGGGGTCCTTCCAAACCCAGTAACTCAAGCGCCAGTGTGATGCTCCGTGATTCTGGTCCTGTGCCGGGACGACCTGGAACAGCAGGGCCAGGAATGAGGAACGGGACACCGATGCCGTCGTAACCCCGGGCTCCCTGCGAGTAGCGGGAGTCCGAACTCCTCGCGTTCTCGAGAACTTGAATCACGCGTTCCAGACAACCTGTTCTCGTCGAATGGTCTTGGGTTTGGGGTTTTTTTCTTTTTACTTTAATTCCACAGCCCTCTTACTTTCTGTTTCATCCCATTTCTTTCTTCACTTGCGATTGGAGACTTCATC